TTTCCATCATTGTAGAATATTCATTTATGTGCCTTGAGTCATTGAACATTCTATATAGGCAGCCAGTGTCCTGACATTAATATATAAACTACTTTTGTTTGTATTTTATCTGTTATACATTATGAAGTCATTGTGTCTGTACTTTTCATTGAACAAATACTTGTATTTCTTGTTTAAATCTTTCAGTAATCTTGGATGTTACTGATTGGCTTATGCTTCAAAACGTTGACTAGTCCTCTAAATTTATTATAACCTAGTCTTTCTCAGTGTTATTGAGGTTACATGCAGTTTAGGGTTACTGTGAACTGGCTGTTGTCAACATGTCAGCTCACTATTATTCAAAGAGGTGTAGTTTTTCCTCTAGCAAATGTCTGGGAATTGTACTACAGAGTATGTTGAGAGATACTCCCTCAGCCTAGACACAAGGGGTAGGGCCTGGGCCCTGCTCCAAATGATATGACAGACTTTGAAGATTCCCCATGGAAGGCCTCATGCTCCCTGGGGAGTAGAAAGGAGATAGTGGAGAGGACAGGGGAAGACTGGAAGATGAGGGAACTGGGATTGATATGTGAAACAAGCTTGTTTCTAATTTAAATTTAAAAATTATATAAAATAAAAAAATAAAAGTTTTCTAAGTAGAAAAAAAATAGTGTATGTTGAAGTTTGTGAGCACTAACCAGATAGCTTCCAAATGGAGTATATTATTTTGAGCGAACACAGTGATGTTCCAAAATTTCAAATTGGCTTATATTTTCACAAATATTTGCTGTTGCCAGCCTTTAATCTAACCCTTCATATGGGCATGAAGTCATTTCTATCTGTCTGTAGTAGAAAATTGTTTAATATGCTTCTTGGCATGGTCTGTAAATTGATAAGTGTCTGCTAAATTATTTGACTATTTATATTGGCTAGTTAGTTTATATTAATGATTTTCAGGATTCTGTAAGTGGGCTGGGGAGGTGCCTCAAAATTTATAATGCTTGTGGAGAAAGTATAAGAATTGGAGGTCAGGTCTCCAGAACCCACATAAATGCCTGGTGGGCATGGCATGGTGTCATATCTTCTTTTCAATCCTGGAGTCAGATACAGGAATTTCCTGTGTATGCTGGACAGTGAGATTAGTCTTCTTAGGGTTCAGGGATTAACTCAACAAATGAAATGAAAGAGTGATCTAGCAAGATTCCCGTCCCTGTTTAACTTACAGCCCACACATACACATGCACACACATTCTCATGTGCAAACTAGTATACACATATAAAAAAAGAATATAGTAGTAGTGTTTATGTATCCTGGAAAGAAGTACTTTGTTAAATGTGCATATGGTACTGTGAGGGACAGAGGGGATGTACTTCCTCCACTCTGAAGTACTCAGACCATGCTATAAACCAGCTAATGTACCACTCTCATTCTGAGGACTCATCAGCTCAGAGTACCTACCAAACAAAATCCCCCACACAGGCATCTATTTCTTCACTAATGTTAATTCCCATCACACTCAATGAACCCTTTTTATCCTCTATCCTTTCTCCGTGGTCATCTTCTAGAACTCCAGCTAAAATTATACACAATCATTAATTTCAGGGTCTGTACATGGCCTCCTCATTTTCAGAAAAGAACCCGGGCTCATATACTGACAAAGAATAGACTCAACATCTTAAATTCCCTCCCCTGTGTTTCCTAACTATGTATTTATTGGACTGACCACTCTACACCCAGTGTTATTTCCTTTGCATTACAGTGATGCCTAGTGCTTGTATTACACTATGTCTGGCACTTCTGTGGGTACAGTGTATTATGTGAACCATCTGAAGTAGTTTTCAGGACATCCCAATTTTCTACATGTAAAATGAAACACATATTTTTTTAAGCATATGCATGGCAACAATACAAAAGTCCTTAAGACACAATCCTAATCTAAACAAGATGTTATTGTCTATTTTTCACACATCTTCCTTAGGATAATTGCACCCCATTTTAGATATTTCCATTCTCTTTTCCATTGCATACTGCTTCTATCTACTAGCTATCTTTTTGTTATTCCAATAGATTTTAATGTGTATACATGTACACACTCACTTAAAGAATTCCAGCTTTCTTTCAATGCTATTAAAGCAGTTCTACCTACTTGAATGGGGTCTGCTCTAAGTGCCACCTAGTACAATCCACCCAGGTCTATATCACTGCCTATTCTCCTGCTGTGTGTGCATTCATGGCAGCTTATACATTATCTATTGCTGTGCCATCCCTACCTTCACCAGGTCCTCCTTCCTTTTTAGAATCTTAGTTCTTGTCACTGGTCTGTTTGAATCCTCCATTGATACACTGGAGAATACAGACTTTTGTTCATTTGTTTCTTGTCATTCTTTCATGTCCATGGTCTTCTTAATATACATACAGCTCATTACTGAAATAAGAGGACTTTTTTTTTTCATTTTTGAAAAAGTATGGATAACAAGTCTCAGAGACTACTTCTATGAGTTGCCTAATCCCTTTCTAGTCCAACCATTTCAGATACCCCTGGCATTTATTTGTTAATAACTATATACGCTACTGATCCAAGTGCTGTATAACCATTTAGTAATTTGTTTCTCCCAATGACAATATGATTTAAATACTATTCCTATTGACAGATTATCATTTGGAAATCTAGGATATAGAAATAATTAACTTACTGTTACCAGCAGAATGGGAGGAATGGCTCCAAGTAGCCTCTTGTTTCTTTTTCTTTTTTTCGCCCTTCCTTCCTTTCCTTTCTTTCTTTCTTTCTTTCTTTCTTTCTTTCTTTCTTTCTTTTGATAATTTTTTTCTATTTAATTTGAAACAAGCTTGTTTACATGTCAATCCCAGTTCCCACACCCTCCTGCCCTCCCCTGTTCCCACCACCAACCAGTCCTATCCCCTTTCTGCTCTCCAGGGAGCAGACTTCCATGGGTTGGAGGGAGTCTTGAAATTCTGTCACATCATTTGGAGCAGGGCCCAGGCCCTCCCTGATGTGTCTAGGCTGATGTAGTATCCCTCTATATGGAATGGGCTCCCAAAGTCCATTTGTATACTAGGGATAAATACTGATCTATTACTAGAGGCCCCATAGACTTCCTAGTTCTCCTAACTAACACCCATGTTCAGGGAGTCTGGATAGGTTCCATGCTGGTTTCCTAGCTGTCAGACTGGGGTACATAAGCTCCCCCTTGTTCAGGTCAGCAGTTTATGTGTATTTGTCCAGCCTGGTCCTCAGCCCTTTGCTCATTACTCCTCCCTTTCTGCAACTGGATTCTAGGAGTTCAGCTCAGTGTTTAGCTGGTGATGTCTGCTTTTGTTCTAGGATGGCATATTAGGTAATCATCAATCTCATTATCTGGGAAGGGTGTTTAAGGTAGCCTGTCCACTATTGCCTAGATTGTTAGTAGGGTTCATCTTTGTAGATCTCTGGGAATGTTCCAAGTGACAGATTTTTCTTCAAATATATAATGGCTCCCTCTATTATGGTATCTCTTTTCTTGCTTCCCTCTATTCTTTGCCTGATTCAGTCTTCCTGGTTCCTCATTCTCACTTCTCTGCTCCTCTTCCTTTTATTCCCTCTCCCCTCCCCCATGCTCCCAATTTGCTTGGGAGATCTTGTCCCTTTCCTCTTCTTCAGGGGATCATGTATGTCTCTTTTAGGGTCCTCCTTTTCTGTTTGTGTGGATTGTAGCCTGGTAATCATTTGTTCTATGTCAAAAAACAATGTATGAGTCTTTTGTGACTGAGTTACCTCACTCAGGATGGTTTCTTCTAGTTCCATCCATTTGCCTGTAATTTTCAAGATTCCACTGGGTTTTTTTTTTTTTTTTGGTTGATTTTTGTTTGTTTGTTTGTTTGTTTTTGTTTTATTTTGTTTTTTTCTTTTTTTCCCTGCTAAATAGCACTCCATTGTGTAAATGTACCACATTTCTTCATCCATTCTTCAGTGGAGGGGCATTTATGTTGCTTCCAGGTTCTGGCTATTACAAATAATGCACCTTCTTTTCTTACATAGACTGTACACCCAGTCCTGGCAACTGAGAGGTAGTGGTAGTTTTATTCAGGCTATCTAGCAGATAAGAGAGGACACTGGCATTTTGAACTAATATCCATTTTGAAATGCAGAATGCCATAACTTGCTACCTGCTATCTCAAAGTTAAGAGGCAAGCAAGGACATCTGAGCTAAGTAACCAATTTGGAATGGAAAAAAGACACTAGGCAACTGAAGCTCCTTCATTCCTCTCAGGTCTCATAACTGAGTGGTGGGGGAGGCATTTCCATTTCCTAGGGTACTCCTTAGCCCCACAGGCTCACCTTTTAGCACAGATAATGTCATCAACATGAAACTTTCTAAGTGCTGCCCACACTATGAATAAATACTTTGCCCACTAAGGTACACAGTCTAACAGTAGGAACATGCTCAAGCCAATCTAGCTTTTCACTTTATTTCTATGCTCAATTTACCTTGAACTTCTCTCTCAGTCCTCGATTATCACTGTTCACCTCCTGGCAAGGTGACTCTGTTCATCCTTTACATATCAGAATAAATATTACTTCCTTAGCTTGACCTGTTCTAGACATCAAAGTAGGTCACCCTGCCCTCCCAACAATCCTCTACTTCATAGAACTCTATTGAAATGTAATATTACTCTGTATATTTACTTACATCCCTTCTCTGCCTCTCCTAATGGAAGAAATACTAGTAGAATACAGAATTTTGTCATACTTACCATCTCATTGACAACACCTCACTTAACTGAGATTGTTTCATATATTAGAAATTTGAAGTATTTTGGTAATAAAAAATAACAACTAATATGCTTCACTGGCTTTATAATATTATTTTGTCACCCAACTTACATAAGCTTCAGTTTAACTGAACGAATATAGATTTACGAGTAACATCTTGTATCCAGCTGAATAAGATAGAATCGTGATCAATTGGGCATTTTTTTTTTTTTTAGATGTTTCGATAGTTTCAGTTTATTCCTTCCCAAAAGACCAACCACAATCAAAGGAGGTGAGTTTCTTTTATTGTCTTCATAACAAGATCAGCTTAGAACTGGATCACTTGGCCCTTTCTCTTCTTATCTCCTCCCAGTTCAAAATGCTTGCATCTCTTAATAGCCAGCATCCGCTTAGATATGCAGTTAGGCTCAACACACTCAAGCCTCAGCACAATCTTTTTTGTAGTTTTAGCCTTTTGTCGGAAATTGAGCTTAGTCTGCCCACCATATCCACTCTGTTTCCTGTCATACCGCCGCTTTCCCTGGGCATACAAAGAGTCCTTGCCCTTCTTGTACTGCGTCACTTTATGGGGCTGGTGCTGGCCACATTTCTTGCAGAACGTCCGGCGGGTCTTAGGAACATTCACCATGTTGGCAGGAGCGATATCGGCACAGAAAGAAAGAGGGAAGGCCAGCAACACACTCAACTGGGCATTTTTATAATTAATTTTTTTCACTATTTTTATAAGTGAAAAGCCAGCATTCTGATTATGAATTATGATTCAGTAAAATATATTTTGCATGATTATCTCAGTTCCTAGCATAAAAATAATGAATGTATATTATCATTGTTTCTTCTGACTTCATGTGGGGGTATGGAAAGGTCTATATGGATATGAGTACTTGCTCATTTGAATATGTGAGTGTGTGTGAACATGTAAGCCAAAGACAGACTCAGAGACATTCCTCTACTGCCTGCATACTTGTCCCACCATTTTATAGTGTTTCTATATTTTTTGGAAGTAGAATCTCCCGGTAGACAGAAATGCCCTGTGTAGTATAGGCTAGACTGGTTGGCCAACAAATCTAACAGTTCAATTGTTTATGTCTCCCCAGCCCCAATATTATAAGCACACCACTCCACCCACCTTTTTATGTTTGTTTTGAGTAAAAAATGTATGCTCAGATGTATGCACAGCATTCACTTTATACACTAAGCTATCTCCTTAGTTATTGTTCATCACTTCCTTACTACTAACCTTAATTGCATAGTTGACTTTGAGATTGCCTCATACCAGATGTTGGTAATCACAAACCAAGTAGCAAAGTAATATTTGCCTACTTTTCAAATATTTTACACTTTTGTTTATCTGCCTTAATATTGTACCATGTAGATGGCAAAGCTGTATTTACACTCTGCCCTTATCTTCCTTACCTTTGAAGACAGTAAACCTATAATCAGAAGTTCTTTGAGTAGGCCCGTTAGCTATAAAATGGCTATAGTGTCCACCAGACCACCTCTAACTTCATTATAATCTCTGTGTGCTAAAATCATACCATTACAGCATAGTTTTTAAAAGTTGAAAGTTACCATGACTTATGGTTATGTTAGAAATAACAATTTCTAATCATTTACCATAAAAGCCACAAAAACATCTTGACTCCTTAATTCCTAGCAAAAGCATGCCCTTCAAAGGAAAGACATGAATATCCCTAGCTTCATCAGTCCATCTGTCTCTCTCATCTCTTTTACTCTGTACATCTAATCTTAACTCCCTAATGTTGAGCAGTTTGTTTGTGTACTTATTGCCTATTTCTCATAGTCTTGACAAAGAATGGAGGTAATCTTCACCACTTACATATCATTGACTTTATTTATTTTAAAGTTCTAGGGATAAAACAAATGCAGTTTGGCATGAAAGATAGTTAACATAGTTGTATCTGAAAGTTTATTTATCAGCCAATGCATCTTAGGGAGTGGCACAACCTTTTGGATTATGGGACCTTGTTGAAGAAGCATATGCTATTGATGAAAATATTGGTACTCAATTCCTCTCATACTTTGCTTCCTGGCTTCATGAAATGACCTGTCTCCACTATCATGCATCCTTGTTACCTTGATATCTTACCTCAATACAGTCTTAAAAGCAATTCAACATAGCAGAGGATGATCTGACACTTTAGAAATTGTAAGCAAGGATGATTATTTTATCATAGACATAGTGAACCAACAGCAAGACTACAAAATCTTCAACCCACATTTTAAATGACCATATTTTAACATCCTCAAAATTGTTCAAAGAAAAGGTTAGACAGAGAAAAAATAGTCAGAAAGCAGCACAAGAGGAAGTAAATAAAAATAAACCATGAAGAAAGAGAAACAACACCAAAAAGGTACATTACTATAAAATCAAGAAATCACCTCTTGAGCAGATACTGACAAACACAGCAGCTCTGGCATTGCACTAAAAGAAAGCACAGTCTTTAGGGGCTGCCCTGAGAATTTTAAATCCTTAGGACTGCTAAGGGACAGTCTGCTGCCAGTTCCTACATGGTGGTGAAGACTATCTTCAGAATGTAACAACTTTCTGGATCTGTTGGCCCACTGAGCTGTTTCACAGATTCTCACAAAGAAAGAAACATCCATGTTCATACTTTCTTTGTTTTATGCTCTGTAATGGTAGGAAATATGATCACGAACAAACAGACTGATCCAAACTTTAGTATTTTATAGTTTCGTTGTATTTTAGAATGTGCATATTCATTACTATATTTGAAAAATAAATCCTAAGGAAGACATTCTACATAGAAAAGGACTCTGACAATTTTCCAGAGATAAATTTTAAGTATTTAAGGAAAACTCATTAAATATATATATATATATATATATATATATATAAATATATAAATTTTGGAAAAATCTAATTTCTTAAAATGGATCAACTTTTCTCTGGAAATCTTTCTAAATGAAATCACTGTATCAAATGTCTTTATAAATTGATAACCATTTCCATTAAGGATCAGAATTTTGGTCCTAGGTGAGGCAAAATGTCATTTTGTTCACCCATCTGCATGTTTGTTATAAGAGAAGTGGCCTGCCTAACCTAAAGTTAAGATTCTAATGTGAAAATTGCCAGGTCAAGTGGATTCTAATTAGTTGACATTGCATATACAGTAATAAAGTTTTAGGATACAGGGAGGTCATATACTATTGACTTTGTAAATACTTTGGCTGAATAATCTACCTCAATCAGATGACCATAAGAGGTATATTGCAAAATATTTCTAAGCATGGTAATTTTATTTACTTTTTTACTTTAATTATTTATTTTTTATTTTACATGTCGATCCCAGTTCCCTCTCCCTCCCTTGCTCCCTTCCTCTCTCCCTCCTTCCCTCCCTCTTACCCTCTCTGCCCCCTCACATGCACCCTAACCACCCTCCCCTCCTATCCTCCCACCCGAATTCCACATGTAGGGCAATGCCATCCATGTGGGGTCATGCAAATCTGTCAAGTCATTTGAAGTAGAAACTAGGACTTCTCTCCTGTCTCTAGATGTGTCTGCAACATCCTTTTGTGCACCAGGAATACATCTTGCTTCCACTGTCTGAGGTCCCTTAGACTGCTCAGTCCTAATAAAGCTTCTTCTATTAAAATTGCATTAAAATATTTAAAAATTGGTTTATTCACTAAATAAGTCAGAAAGTATGCATTTTTAAGATTTTTAAAGTAGAGTATTAAATGGTCTTCAAATTGCTTGTCAATTCTTTTTTAGCAGAAGATGTGATGCTGTTACTGTTGGACAAAATGTGAGAACCATGTTGAATGGGACCTACAATCAAAGATCCCTTAAGAGAAGTAGTATCATTTTCTTTTCTTTTTCTTTCACATTAGGTTACTCATGGGTATGAATGTGTATTAATGTAGGATGTTCTGTGAATATTTACAGAGTCTAGAATTGTTATGATCTAGTGACTTTCTCAATTGCATTTCCATCCTACTTTGTGAGACAGTATTATCTCACTGAACCTGAGGATTACCTATTGGCCAGAGTCACTAGCCAGAAATCCTTTGGGATTTCCCTTTGCCTGCCTGCAATGAGATTGTCAGCCTCAGCCTCCATCTTGTTCTTTCTACTGGGTGCTCAGATCCTCATCTTTTAGCCACTGAGCCGTCTCCCCAACCCCCATAAAAAATATAGTAGTATAATTTTCTTACTGATATTACCTAAATAGATTGTTAGCCATTTTGTATATACTATCTCATCTAATCTTCCAATTTATCAGTGACATAAATAGAAATTATGTAATTTGCTGAGTATGATAACATAACTATCTCAGCCTTGGAGCTAATTTAAGGCCTATTTTGCATGGCCCTCTTAACTTTGTTATCATCTTAGATATTTTCTTTACGAAAACACATTATAGATGCAAAATCCAGTATTACCTCTTTTATCATTTTAAAATAGGCCCCCAAACAACTTGGATTTGCCACTATAAGTTGTTAATTAGTGCTTAATAGAAGCAGAATTAGTGTATCAGTCTTATTCACAAAGGTGAAAGTTGTGTTTTGAAGAAGTGAAGAAAGTGTGCCCAATTTATATACCTAGCACAAGAAGACTTTATGTACAAATGCTGAGAGCTGTAATTACAATGACGAAATGAATGAATTCATGTAAGTGGGATGAATATATAAAGAGCCTTCAGATAGAACTATGATTGTAAATGCTACTACAATCCCATATTAAAAGCAGTCTCCTGGATATACTCAGAGATATCAACTACATCATTTCTATTACTTGCATATGATATCAAATATATACTACTTTGTAGCCACAAGCAATTATTCTGATTTAATTGAGTGCTTTGAAAACTTTGTATTTTCTTCCTAAGTTCTGATTTTGAGGTTCTTGTTGTTGTTCTTCTTTTGTTTGTTTTCAAATGAAGGAAATGTGTGTTTAGTATTTTAAAAGTACAACATAGTTTTGTTCAGTAGAAAAGATAGTCTTGGTTTAGGAATAGAATCTGACTACCAATTACTGTACATTTTTATTAGTTCCCTCTCTTAGTATATGTTCAATTTCTGTGAAGAAACACTATGACCATTTCAATTCCTATAAAAGAAAGCATTTAATTGGAGCTTGCTTGCATTCATGTCTTCATGGTGTAGGCAGATATGGTGCTGGAGTGATATCTACATCCAGATCTGCAGGCAGCATGGAAAGGGAAAGACACTAGTCTTGGCTTAAACATTTGTAAGCCTAAAACCCAGCCCTTCCCCCATGACAAATTTCTTCCAGCCACACCTCCCTGTCCCTGTCAAGTAGCTCCACTATTTAATGACCAAGCATTCAACTAGGAGCCTAGAGTGGTTATTTCTATTCAATCCACCACATTTTTAAATTGTAAAGAAAGGACTTGTATATCATACTCAAATTTACTAAATGAAACTAGAATGAAACAGCACCATTCTGCCTTTGAAGCTAAACAATAATCAATATACTGTAAATGTGTAGGTCATTACAAGTGTATAGGAAGTATTTGCTGGATTCAAAACTTCTTTCTTCTGAAGAAATAAATTGAATCTGACCAGGAAGAAATGTGGTATAGTTTTCATCTCAGCTTTTAAATACTTATTGCATATTAATTGATATTTTATGGTAGAATTTTGTTCTAGATAATGCCAGCTT